CCGCTATTGCAGGTACCTGATTAGAGCGGGGTGCCAATTTACAATTTTTAATATTATAATTTATATATATATAATATATATATATATTATATATATATATATCGTTATACAGCGATATGTTGCCTCATGTACATCTTTACATCATTTTTTTTTTATTCGTAATATTTCTAATCGAATGTCACACAATGAATCGAATCGATAACATTATGAATACATTTTCTTCATGCATTAGTATCGATACTTCGATAGTCCGCTTTTCTCACGTTCCATTTTCTACTATATCAGTTATTGCTTCGATCCTTTACTCATTTCATCTTTTCAATTCTTTTTTTTTTTCATTTCTTTCTTATTATCGTTAAACATACTATGCTTTAACGTACGAATAATATCGTTTTGTACATATTTCATGTGTATGCAGCTAATCTTAACTTAACGAACAGACATATAAAAGGTCAAAATTTAAATTGGACGGTGTAATAATTGTTCCTTAGGGAAATAACTAGTGATGATTTTTTTCTTCTTTAATTTTGATTTAATTGTAAAATTCAATTTATTACAAATGCATTTTGCAAATTTTTGATTTTTAGCTCCAGTGGCTACAGCTGCTGTTGCTGCTCCTACAACACTTCTTACACCTGGATTGACAACCGCAATCGCAGCTGCACCCGCTGCTATCACTACTGGTTTAGCGGCTGCCCCTCTAGGACTTAATGGTATAGCCTTGAATGGGATAGGAGCCGTCAAGGTCCTCTAAGGTCTACGCTTGAATTTGTATTACAGAACGATAATTCGATTAAAACTTGATGTTTTATAACCATTATCGACCATGAGATGCATTCGAACATTTGTATCGAATCGGAATCGTCGTTACAATTCAAACAATCTTCTTTGTCACAGAATGTAATCGATTATTCAATAAATGTACAATCGTTATTCTATACTAAGCCTATTGAATCGATATTTTCATTTTATCAATTGTTTTTGAATATTTTATTTATTTAATAATAATAATAATAATAATAATAATCGATTCTTTGATATTAGCAGCATTTGGAATTTAGGATTTGAATAGGTTTGAAAAGAAGGAAACAAAAATAAAATTATTACACTTCAATGTGTATTATATTTAATAAATAAAAATTGAGTGTATACCAAATACGTATAAATCATAATGATAAGTAGAATCGAATTGTCATATTAAAAAATTGGCATTAGCGGTCTAAGAAATTCGGGATAATGAACTATTACCATGCGTAAGAGACACCGATGGGACTGGTATAGGCCATGTGTGAAACAGCTACTGCCGGGGAGTAAGCGACACCAAGAAGTGTGCTTGGTTGAGCAGCAGCAGCTAATGGTGTTGCCAAGGGTGCTGCATGTGTTGCAGCGTATGCTACTGGAGCAGCATGTGCATAAATCGCTGGATTTGTTACACGAATATCAGATTTGCTAGTGCTAGAAAATGGCGTGGAAATTGTTTTTGACTGAGTCGCAATTTGTGCCAAATTTCCTGTGCTACGAAGTATATTGTCAGATGTTGATGTTAAAGCCGCAGTTGTCAAAGAATATTGTCCAGTTGCTTCTGGTAATAATACTCCTCCATTGCACATTGCCAGAGCACAAGCGAGTACTATGATCTGAGAAAAAGAAACGAAACTATTATATTTATGATTATTATAGTTTCATACAATTTTTTTTTCTCTATTTTCTTTTCGTATTTTTAAATATATATATGATACACATATATTTTATTTATTTCATAATATATGTATATACATTTTACAGAAACATAAATTAAGATTCAACATTATTTTTAAAATTAGTATATATAAGTATACTATATTCACTTATTAAATTATTTTACATCGCTTACCTTCGAGAACATTGTGAGTCAGGTAGATTTTGATCGATTCTTTAACAATGTATGAAAGCAAATGTGTGCTGATCCTTTCGTAGCCGAAATCTTATATAGTCGAACCAACTGAAATCAGGTGGGGTACAAGGGCGTATTTCGAACGAGTACCGAAAAATACTTTCGCCATAAGAATATGTAACCGTTTGTGTGCTTTCCTCTGCCACACCCGATTCTCTTTTTTTTTTTGTTCTCCCTTTCAATAATATCGTTAATTTATCTCCTCCGACCTTGGACTAAAAATCCAAATTCGTCGAGTCTGATTACTGTCACAGAAAAAAAACGATTTTATACTTTTACTTTCTTGCTAAAATTTTGATTGGAATATAATATAATAATAAAAATAATAACGTATATACTATTAATAATTAATAATGTTTTATTTATTTTGATGAAATTCTTTATCATTATTTTATAATGATAAATAAAAATATGATATAAATATATATCATCTTCATATTTTTTGCATAATATATATTAAAACAATTTCTAAGTACTCTATCTAACAAAAAATTATAATATATTTAAAAATCAAATTCAAAGAACTTTAAAATTTATATATATATTATAATATTTATATTCTATATGTATATATATATATATATATATATATATAATTAACATCAAATGAAAATTGTAAATAAAATTTTTAAATATATTACTTATTGAATAGAAAATTATTAATTATTTCCCGCCTTTTTTTTGCTTTTCTATCATCAAATAATTGTGTGTTTGTTTGACATGAAACGACATCTAGAGATGCGGCATTTAAGAGATTCGATAAACTTAAAATAAGTTTATGAATGCATATGCATTTGTATATACGAAAAAAAAAATAGTTTAAAATCTTTTAATTAAATAAAAAAGAAAAAATTAAATATTGTTTAAATTATTTTAACTTATTAGAAACAGAAAATAAATAAAAACATAAAGTGAATCCAAATAAAAATATCGAAATATGTATCGTCGTTTTGAAAATTTACGAGATGATCAATTAAAATTGCGCGCATTTGTTAAAGATTTAAATATAGAAGAGGTAATTATAAAAATTATATTTTAACCAGAGTGGGAATATTCGAGCTTAAAGAATAATTTCAACAGCTTATACAACTAGTAGAAAACATTATTTGTCAATTGGATGCTACGAAAATATTAGATGATCTTTTGCAAGCATTTTGTGATTCTGATGAGAGTCAATTAAAACAACGAAAACTTATCGAATATATACTGAAGAGTTTAGGAAAAACTAATATATCTACAGGACAAGCAAATACAATAATTAATTGGATAATTGCTGATTTTCCAAGATATTCGAAACAACATCTTGTCAAACTGGTCGATTTTTGTGTTAAAAATATTTGCAATGATGGTGATGAGTTACAGAGGCAAAACAATTTATATTTTTTATTATTCTTTTCTTCTTTTTTAATATCATATTTTTTAACACTATAACTCTTTTTTTTTTACAGTTGGAAAGATATATTACCTGCTTTATTTGAAGCATTGGAAAATGAGAAATATATTGTTCATGCAGATATTGAAGTATCAGGAATTGAATATAAAACATTAATTGTTAAAGATATATGTAATTATAATTGGAATGTCAATCTTTTACCATCTTTAGCAAAAATGTTTGGGTATATGATTTTTTTTATCATTAAACTTTATGTATATAAAATTTTAAAAATTTAAAAATTATCCAAATTTTTTTTATGTAAAGAGATATGGCATTAGATAAGATAAATCGTAATGAAGTTTTGAAAACATTATGTTCTGCTCTTCCAAATCTTCCTTTGGATCAAGTACCTTCTTTCACATATCAAACATTAAAATTATGCACAAATCGAGATAATCAAAAACTTTTGAGTGCCTTATCTAAGTATTTTAATTTATGTTATTCTAAAACCAATTTAGTCAACAATGTAGATAATTTTGAAAGTATAGGTAAACAAAAATAATTAAATTCATATATATCTATTACATAATATTTTTATTACTATTCTTTTCTAAATATATATATTTGCAGATATAATTAATTTAAGAGAGATACAAGACATTGAAAGCACTGTTTTGTATCATATATATCAAGCTACACAGTTAAATCATGAAAATATGAAAGATTTTATTCGTTTCCTTAAACATGTATCTTATGCTCCAGAATATATATTACAATCATTTATACTTTGTGTTTTAATGTCAGTTTCTGATATATATGAAGATCAGGTACCATAATTTTTAACATATAATCAAGAATTTTGTTGTAATCTATTTTAATGTAAAAAAAACAATATGTTTGATAGATTTTTGAAATATTAAGATTGGCTATTGTCCACAATACTTTTGAAAAAGAAAAGCGACAAAATAGTGCATGGTTAAGGCAACTTTTACCTTCTCCTTGCAATATAATTGATATTATTCAACAAGTCATTGATAGCAGGTCAATTCAATTTAATGTTATTTAATTAATATTATTAATCAATATTTTTTTATACTTTCTTCTAATATTAATTATAATCATTTAATTATTTTATAGCAATAAAGAACGTCATTTAGTATTAAAGGGACTTACTAATTTAGCTTTTACATTAATGAGTGCTGATCAAAAATCAAAAAATACTGCAACAACTATGTGGTGTATAGGATCTGAAATAATACGAGAAATAATTAAAAAACGTCATGAAACAATTCCTATTGTATTACAAGAATTAATTAATAAAATAGTAGCAGGAAATGTGCCAACAGTACATTATACAGGTAGAAAGATAACAATATTTATTACAAAATTGCATCAAATATTATTTATTATCATAATAAAAAGAAATATTTTCTAGATTGTTTAAAATATATGTGTCGTGAATTGTCAATGATTGTTTTGGAGCATCAAACTATGATTATGATCATTCTTGAACGATTATTACTTTTGCAACCTATAGTTGCTACTCAAGTTTTATATGCTATTTTTCCATTAATACCTATTTCGCCTAATATACGAGAAAATCTTTTATTGACTTTAAGAAAAGCTCTTTATAGAAAAGGCACATCAAAACGACAAATGGCAGTTACAGGATTTATTGAGATGTTAAAGTACAAAAAAATGCATTCTCAATATAATTTTAGATTAAGTCAACTTAATTCCTTCGATTACGCAAATAGTTCTAATTCTAGATCAACATTAACTCAAGTATGTATATCTAAAAATTTTAAATGAAAATAAAATTATTAATTTATTGATTTTAATAATAAAAATATAATTATTTTTAATCCTACAATTTAGGTAACTTTGGAGTATAATTCACAACCAGAAAAATCACTTACAGAATATGGTAAAACTTTATGTTATGAAATATTGGATATATTAAAAAAAAGTTTTACTTACGAATTTGAAGTTAGATTACATTTGTATGAAGGTAAGAAAGATTTATTTAAATGACCAATGAAAAACTTATTATTTTCATAAATAATATTATATTTTTAGGCTTATATAATACCGCAATCAAAAATCCTGAAATAGTAGAAATTATATTAGATATGCTTTTTTCACATTTGAATCTCTACCTTCATACAGATGATAATATCTTACCTCCTGTGAAATTAGAATTATGTACAGATAATCATGGTATGGATGTAGTTATGCAAGAACCTATTGCTCAATTGATATTTGCATTACAAAAAATATATATTAATGCAATTACAAAGAATTCAAGTATTTTTGAAAAAATATATAATATTTTGGAATCATTATGTAAAAAAATGACAATTATAGAATTAGAACATTTAAATTTGGTAATTAAAATTTTATTTTAGTTTTAAATTCATTTAAATCTAATAATTAAAATTTCAATATAGAGAAAATAATATAAATATGTTAATATAAAAATAAATTATCTTAGGAGCATGGAACTGATTTTTTTCATGGAGAATCAAAATCACAGGTAAAACTAAAAAATCTTAGCATGGCTATTGAGATTTGTGAAGCTTTAATAGCATTTAGAATTGGTGAATGGTCAAAAGGGAATGATAAAGTTCTGGATAATATCAATGATTTATTTAAAGCATACACACGTTTGGTGGATTTTATTAAAATGGTAAAATGATCAATATATTTCATTATTATATTTTATTTATATTATATTATATATATTAAATATATAATATATTTAATTTTATATATTATTATATGTTAAAATGTTAATATATTAAAAGTCATATAAATTTTTTAGCAATCTACAAAAATGAAAAAAACTGATAATAAAAATAAGAAGGATAAAGATGTCAATAATACAACTAAAAAATCCATTAAATCAAATAATATAAAAATTCCAAATACTATTATGGATTTAGATGTGATCCGTCAAAGTTTGTTACTTTTATTTTCGTAAGTATAATAATTGAGTGAGTATTATTAAGATACTATTATTAAATCATTCTAAACGTTTCCACGGTTTTAAATTATTAAAGAAATATTTTTATATAAAATTCCAATATCAGAAATATTTTTTTATTCAAATGTTATCTTTAATAAAGTAAAAGTCGAATAATATTATAAGAATATAATTATTATTGGATTTAAAATTAATAATTAATTATTGAATTATTATCATTGAACTGTGGAAATTTTTAGAATGTATAGTACAGTAAATCTAATTGCAATTTCTAAACAGACAGTCAACTCAAAATGATAATATACTTCGAAAAAATCATAATTTCTGTTATTATATATTACAAATATGTGAACAACTTTTACAACGGATAAAACTGTCTATAAAAGATATTTCTCAATCGCAAAATCATCGATATCTAAATACATATATTGATATTGGAAGGTGAGTTTAAAATAAAAAAAATGTTCAATATTAAATACTTTGAATCTCACTTTTTTATATTAATTAATAATAATGAAAGTATTTTTATTATTTAGATTGCTTTATAAACATTTCATACAAAATATAATTAATGCTCTTACAAATGATGCACAAGTAACTATATTAGCTTTGCAATGTTTCAAAGAAATCTCTTATTGTGTATGTACATTATTATCATTCGAGTTACAGACATTTCTCAATTCAATTTGTATGTATTTACATAATAATTTATTATATGATAATTTAATATATACTTTTTATACAATTTTTTGTATAATTTTATTTATATTTTACAGTTGAAATACAATCTAAGAAAGATACAATATCTAAAGATATTAATTTTCAATTACAAGAAATTATTTTTTCATTAAAGGAATATTTGGAAAAATTTCTTACAGAAGACATGAATGATGATGATAAGAAGAAAGTGTCATGTTTACTATTAGAAATAATGGAACAATACACATACAAAATTAATTTTGAAAATTACAATTCTGATAAGGTTGGTGTATTGTAAAAATGATTTCATTTCTATAGGAATATATTAAGATATAAAAATTATTATAACTATAAAAATTAATTTTCAATTAGAAAAAAAAATTATTTTCTAAATATAATTTTTTATTTCTATGTATATTTTTTTTCATAAAAGATGCTAAAATGTATAAAAAAAATGATTCAAATCGAAAATATTCAAAGTTCTATTGTTCCTGCAATCTTGCAATTTTTTTTACATTTAGAAGAACATACACAAGAGTATGGAGAAACGTTAAATGAAATTTGTATGGAATTATGTGAAAAAGTTGGAACTATTGATGGTGTAAGTATATTCTTTATTTTACAATATTCAAAATTTTTTTATTTCACATTGATTTTTATTTTTATCAAATATAGACTGAATTAATAATGAATAGAATATATAAAATTATACGCGAAGATACTATATTACAAATTTATATTGTATTAAATAATCACATTAAACAAAAGTTGGATAATGCTTCATGGTTGTTGATGCGATTAAAAGCAGAAGACATCATAATTCGAGCACCTGGAACAATTGATGAAGTATGTAAGTATAAATTTGAAATATCAAATAAAAATTTTACAACAAAATAGAAAATTAATTTATAAATTGTTTTAACAGTAAATAATAATTTAAAAGAAAAGGAACGAAATTTATGTAAACAACTATCCTATCTTGCTCAAGTACTCCAAACATTAGCTAATATATCAATTGAATCAAGTCCATGTATTGACAATACTTTTAAAAATTTGCAATATTTATATCATTTACTTGGAAACTTTACAAAATATTTTTACACAAAATCAAATATTCAAAATGCAGCATTCCAAGCAGTTAAGTATGTATTGCATATATATTATTTTACATAATTAATAATTTATATATTATTGAAATTGAGTATAATGTGTATAATGATTGTAGATTCATTCAACTGGTACAATTAGCTGGTAAACCATTAAAATCTACTTTTTATAATTTAGTAACATATGTAGAGGTATGTTTTTTATTTTTATAAATTTTTTATCAATAATATTAATATATATTATATTAATAATATTAATAATATTATTAATAGTGTATTTATTTTTGTCAAAAAAATTAGGAAAATCAAAATAAATTACAGTCAAAATTTGATTCTTATGCACAAAGAAATAAAATTTTAAAAGAAACTAAAATAATACCTCGCGTAGTATATGAAATTGAACAATTTAATAAAGAAATATTATTACTTGGCAAAAGAACGGGTGTAAGTATTAAATCAAAGTATTAAATAGTTTATTCATTCATTCATTTTGTATTCACATAGAATTCAATGATTTATATGATTAGATACCATTAGAAAATTACATGAAACGCAGCATAACTAGAGATTTTAGAATAAAAAATCCAGAATTGGTAGAAGGACTTGAGAAAATGGATATAAGTATGGTAATATCAGCTAAAGAATATATTATATATTAATTTCATTAAAAATATTAGCAATATTCTAAAATATTTTTAATTTTCATAGCTTGCTTCAACAAGTCCAGAAAACTCTGAAAATGAAAACCCTATTTCAAATACAGATGATTTGAGCGATAACGACGATAATACAGTACCTTCAAAAAAACGATGTAGAACAGAAGATTGAAATATTCTTATTTAAAATTTGGGTTAAAAGAAAAAAAAAAAAAGAAACAAAAATTAAACATATTTTGTTTTTAGATTCACTTTTTTCTGTATGATATATTATGTTTACTTATATGAATTATTTTCTATACCATTTGCACATCCTATTGTTCTAACCAGGCCACTAAACAATGGAATTCGTACGAATTGTAAAGAATTTGAAATTGTATTGTTTATGGAATTGTCATATTTATAAAATTTATGCTACAAAATCCAATGGTCTATTGAATCCTCCTTTTCTATTCATGTATTGTCTATACTTTCTTTTAAGAATAACATGTACAGCTCCCACATCATTTCCTTCAACTTTTTTGCCCTTAGTAGTATCAAAACCACAAAAACCCATTATTCTCATCATTTCTTGTTCTTCTGGTGTTTTTCCTTGAAGATCAGCTTCTAAATATTTTAAATGAATAAAATATTCAAAAAAAATATTAAAAAATTAGATCTTTTCAAATTCATATTTTTTTAATATTAAATCTATATACCTGTAATAACAGGACGTTCTGTTGTAGGTTTTAATTTGGGTTTAGGTCTATCTCTTTCTCTTGATCTAGATCTACTATATGAACGTCTGTGCCTATCTCGTTCACGGTCACGATCCCTTTCTCTTTCTCTCGATTTTACTCGATCCCGTTCAACAGATCTAAAATGATTTCAAATTTATGTTATCATTTATATAATATTTTATATAATTTGATTCCGTAATAAGTTATAGAAAAATACCTTCGTCTTCTTTCACGAGAACGTCTTCTTCTTCTATCTCTGTCTCGTTCACGTTCCCGATCTCGATCTCGAGATCGATCTCTTCTTCTTCCTGGAGAAGGTGAACGACTACGTCCCATAGTACGTGTTGTTTATAATTGAGATAATAATAATGTAACAAGAATTATTGAATGTATATACATATGTTTTTATATTTCAGTATTTCAAAATACTTTTTATTGGATATATGGTTAATAAAACAAAAAGGTTATGTTTACAAACACTAAATATGTATGTTTAACAGTTATATTATGTTATTAATATTTTTATTTAATTTGTTTGTACCATACACAAAATGAATATGATTCTATAATTATAATACTATAATATATAATAGTAGAAACCAATTGTAAAATAGATAATTTTGTAGTAACAGGCAACTACATGTCTTTTTCAATGGGTACGTATGTATCTCTAAAAAGTAATCAACATAATGTTCGTATTATGTATTTATAATTGTTTCAAAATTTTGATATTTAATTATACTTAATAATCTTAACTTAATAATTATCTAAATCATAAAGAATTTGTATCAAAAAATTATTTATTTAATGGAATTAATATTATTCAATTACTGTGTAAATCAATAATTAAGAAATATCATTTGTACTTAAAATATTAACAAGATAAATCAATTATTAATAATTATTAACGCTTTGCAATTGGAAAAATCTGTTATTTTGGAAATTTCGGCTATTTATAAATCTTAGATTAGAAAAAATTAATTTAATTATATGAATCAAACACATTACAATTCGTATATAAAAATATCTTCAAAAATTATATATAAAATAAAAATATATAGATTTGTCTAATATTAACTTTTAATTTATAATCATTATTATAAAATATACATATATTAAAATACAAATTAATGTTTTTTTTATTAATAAAAAAAAATAAATTTAAAAATATAGAAATACTTTTTATAGGTTTGTGAAAATATTAGAATATTATAATTTAATATATGTATATTTTTAGATTTATTATAGAAAAACCGAATTGTGAGGAACAAAAGGAATATATATAAGTATATATATAAATAAATATATATATATATGTGTATGAACAAAAATAGCTCACAGGAATTTGCATCATGAACTTTTTGTTCAACTGACTATGTACGATTTGGCTAACTTTGCTAGTTGTAGCTACCGTTATGCTATTTATATTCGTTTATTAGATTTAATCTTAAATACGACGTAACTGAAAGTGAATTTGTTTAAAAACATCTTGTATCTATTTTAATAATAATTTTTATCAAATAGAAGCGTGCAAAGTTTTATATTATATTAAAAAAAGGAAGTCAATAATGAAAAATTCTAAAAGAGGAAAATAATTTTTTCAAATAATTATTTGTAATTTCTTGTGAACATTTCGAGACGATTCGAAGAGGAGGATATAAGAGGCCGACGACCGTTTCTGCATTGCGTCATTAAGTTTTAATCGTTCAAAGAAACGGTCTCATTTTCTGTGTAATCGTGTCGTGAAAAATTTTGTGCTTAATTATTTTATAAGTTAATAAACTTTATTATTTTTACATAATTAAAATGGTAAGAAAAATGTTTATTTTTCTAGGTGAATGACTATTGAAATAAATATAAAAAAATAATAAAAAAATATAAATTATAATAAAATAAAATCAATAATTTAACTAAGTAATAGATCATTTAAGATTTAGGATTTCATTTATATAATGTTAGATTGAAAATAATTATTGAAATATTGACAAATAAAAAAAATAAATTTCATTTTCTCATAATTTCCTCTTTTTTGAAAAAGAAAGTGGTTTGGAATTTAGATAAATAATAAAAATTAGATAAGGAAAAAAAAAAAAGAAAAACTTTTTTCTTTCAAAAATAGAATTTTAAATGTTATTTTAGCGCGAGTGCATATCTATTCATGTCGGGCAAGCTGGAGTCCAAATTGGAAATGCTTGTTGGGAACTCTATTGTTTGGAACATGGAATACAACCGGATGGACAAATGCCATCTGATAAAACATTTGGCGGTGATGATAGTTTTAGTACTTTTTTCAACGAAACCAGTTCTGGCAAACATGTACCTAGAGCAGTATTTGTCGATTTAGAACCTACAGTAGTTGGTAAGAGAAAAAAAGAAAATCATTAAATCATTTAATTATTAGAGATTAATGATAGAAATATTGAGATTTTTTTTGTTTTTGTAGATGAAGTTCGAACTGGAATATATAAATATCTTTTCCATCCAGAACAATTGATCACTGGCAAAGAAGATGCAGCAAATAATTATGCTCGTGGTCACTATACAATTGGCAAAGAAATTGTCGACTTAGTCATTGATCGAGTACGCAAATTAGCAGATCAATGTACCGGATTACAGGGATTTCTTATTTTTCATTCATTCGGTGGTGGTACTGGATCGGGATTCGCTTCTTTATTAATGGAGCGTCTTTCTGTTGAATATGGAAAAAAATCTAAATTAGAATTTGCGATATATCCGGCTCCACGAGTCTCTACAGCTGTTGTTGAACCATACAATTCCATTCTTACTACTCATACGACTCTCGAGCATTCAGATTGCGCTTTTATGGTCGATAATGAAGCAATCTATGACATTTGCCGACGCAATTTGGATATCGAAAGACCAACTTATACTAATCTTAATAGACTGATCGGACAGATTGTTTCTTCAATAACAGCGTCATTGCGATTTGATGGTGCTTTAAATGTAGATTTAACCGAGTTTCAGACAAACTTAGTTCCTTACCCAAGAATTCATTTTCCTTTGGTTACTTATGCTCCTGTAATATCGGCTGAAAAAGCATATCACGAGCAACTTTCGGTCGCAGAAATCACTAACGCATGTTTCGAACCAGCAAATCAAATGGTCAAGTGTGATCCAAGACACGGAAAATATATGGCTTGCTGTATGCTGTATAGAGGAGATGTCGTCCCAAAGGACGTGAATGCAGCGATCGCCACTATTAAAACAAAACGAACAATACAATTTGTTGACTGGTGCCCAACTGGATTCAAAGTTGGTATAAATTATCAACCGCCAACGGTTGTACCGGGTGGAGATTTAGCTAAAGTACAACGAGCTGTTTGCATGTTGTCTAATACAACAGCTATTGCTGAAGCTTGGGCTCGACTTGATCATAAATTTGATCTCATGTATGCTAAAAGAGCTTTTGTTCATTGGTACGTTGGCGAAGGTATGGAAGAAGGTGAATTTTCTGAAGCTCGTGAAGATCTTGCAGCTCTTGAGAAGGACTACGAAGAAGTTGGCTTAGATTCGACTGATGTAGAGACAGATGCTATTGACGAATACTAAATTGAACCTACTCATATATTTCCATATATTATTTAATTTAATTAATTTTCTACCATTTTTCTCTAATATCCAATTTAGAGTTTTATTTATAAAGTCTTTTCTTCTTCTCCTCTATTTTATCTTGCAAGTGATAAATACTTTTATTACAATATTTATAATTGAATTAAACTTAATATTAAAACATATCAAAATATATGGATATAATATAATGATGATATGTTATAAGAATGACATTAAAAAAGATTGTATAATAAACAGAATTTGAATTAGGAAGAGATATGAGAAAGGATATGGATATAACAGGAATAGAAAAATCAAATATCCATACAATCAAAATATTGTATAATAAGACAAGGAATTCTTTTCACATCTTTTCTCGTCAATTAGAGACGTATTTCTTTTGTCTTGTTTTATTGCATTACACAAACGGGGCTGGGGAGGCAAAATTAAATAGCGGATTAAATAGTTCAGCGCGACGCTTTAACAAATTAAAAACGTAAAAACATTAACAGTACAATATAGTTTCTTATTGTAGACGTAATGCGATGGCAGTCTTGAGTCCTGGAAAGATGCTGTGATTGTTGCATGATTATTTTAATTTTCAAATTTCTATATTCTATTTCCTATTTTCTATTTTCATTCGTTTCCGGTATATGCATTTTTGACTCGCTTTGCGATCTTCGACTCTTCTCTGTCTCGCGGATTAATTCTTCATTCAATAATTGTTCTTTTATTTGCGATAAGCTTTTGCTCCTGGCAGTGTCTGGAAATAGAAAGCGGAAACAAAAATCTTTCATAAAATACAACTATTTCTACTTATGATGCAATAAAACACAAGAGACGTATGACTTTCGGAAACGAACAAACAAAAAAAAAACTACATAAGTATTCTAAACGATAACATGTGATTGTATAAATATTATTATAGCAATCATTGCGACTATAAGATATCTATTGTTGCAACTATGCGAATTACAATAGCGCCAACAGCT